GCGAAGAGCATTGCTTAACCGTAGTAAGAACTCAATTATTCACCCAGATTTCACTTACACGAAGGAAATGGGAACTAGGCTTCAAAGGCAGACTGGACAGGAAGCTAGCTAACCTTTCGAGAGGAAGGAAATACCTAGACCTAAGGACTTGCTTTTCGGAAGTAATCCAACAGGTGTCATCAAAAGAATATATTATTCAATTATGAAACAATTTATACGGATGGATTCTATTACAGCGGAAAGTAGTTCTGTTAACAACGGGGCTTTAGTTCCCTACACTTCTTGAAGCTAGGGGTTGTTGATTTGCTATCGGAGTCTAGTGAGAAACCCAGCTAGACTTTCCGTTCAATCGCCGGGGGCTCGCAACAAAACTGACTGCAGATCTTAAGCTTGGCGGGTCGAGTTGTGAGGGCTGGCCGAGCAAGGAGCACAAAAGATCGTTAACTGTTGCTGTCGTTACAAGGAGGGTGGGACATTGATCCAAAGCTCGAGTACGGTACGAAGCCCTTCCTCCATGAAAGGATCGGGTTGTTGGCTCAGGCAGAAGGTAGAAAGGCTAAGACAAAGCCGTTTCCTAAGCCCTACTAAGTAAAGCAGGTATGGCTTTGGTTAAGTAAATTGCCTCCATCTTCACCAGTAGCCAAGGTAGGCATAATCCGCGTGAGCACTTTAAAGTGTTTCGTGCCTCACCTCCCCTATAGCTTACGATTGCTCTTCGCCAGATCTTTTTTGAAGCAACAAGAACGAGTTTCACCTAGCCTTATGAAAGGGTCTCGTTCTGCTNTTCACTGGTGCTCTTCGCCAGATCTTTTTTGAAGCAACAAGAACTCTTTCCTTATGAAAGGGTCTCGTTCTGCTGTATGGGCTTTCCCCAAGGTGTAATAAGTCTTATCTAGCTAGATCCTAAGATCTCGATCCACGGCTTAGTAATCCGCAGACGCTTCATACGAAGCCGAATCCGCCTATTGATATTGGAAGACCCAACGGATTCTTCCAATGTATCATTTCTGGGTCCAANAACGCTTCATACGAAGCCGAATCCGCTGAATCAGGAGAATCCACTGATCCAGGTAGGTGAGTTGGTATATAACCAAAGGAAGAGCAGAGGGAAAACTTGACCAGAAGACCAGCTAACCTAAGCGCCCACGAAGAGAGATTTCGAATACTGAACTAAAAAGATCTAGGCCTTCAACCAACTTTGGGATCCTTCCTTTCTTCAAACGGAACGAACAGAGATAGAAAAAGAATCGATCTTTCTTTTAGTTGTTGAATCTCTCTTTGATTGATCAATGTGTGNTCCAACACAGATTTAACAGTTCATATCAGGTAGGAAACACCACAGATAGCCCAAGTTCAGCTGAGGAGCTTGAAGTTTTAGTAGAAGCTGGGCACCCCATTGTCCCTAAAACTGATGGATTGTTCGATAATGTCCATGCTGCCAAAATCGAGCATATAGAAGACCTATGTTTGAGAGAAGGTGACATGCCAGAGCTATTAGCTTGGACCATGGCAAAAGTTGCTCGGCTAAAATCTCTGGACAAATGTACTAGTAGTTCCTTTGCAATGGCAGCTCATGATGCAGGAGTTGAACACAGAGGAGGCAAATATGATGACATTGCTATGGTCGTTGCGTACATTCTTTCTGCAGATTGGTTTTAGCATGTAACTTTCTCAAGTACATACATTTGGAAAAGCATAAACCAGAAAACTGAAGAAATACAATTCAATCTTAATATATACACGTTGTTTGTGTTCTATTCATCTATTGCTGTAAATGTTTTAAATTGCTGGTTTATTGCTGCCTTGAAATATCTTTCAATGATTTGCAAGTTCTTTGCATTCAAAAGACAGTTTGGGAGAAATTGACAACAATGAAGTTGGAGATGATGCATCATCTGATCCCAAAGAGGCAAGTGTCACAGCTTATAAAATGAGTAACTGGAGGAACGAAAAAAAAGCAACAAGCAAACGCATGAACACTGGAATAAGCTGGCGAAATGGATACTTCTTAGGAGAATCATCAAGGAAATGGAAAAAGTGTGGAAATTCAACCCAAAAAGTCCATGGAAAGCTTCAACTCAAGCAAAATCTGTTCAATACTGGATGATATCATCAACGAAGGCCAGCAGAATCACAACGACACTAAACACATTTTATTTATCTAGTTTTTCATTTGAGGGCAGAGCAAGCAGTCAGAATAAAAGTGAGCAAGTTGGTTTTGAAAGTAGTAGTAAAAACTAATGTTTCCTTTTCTTTTGTTTTTTTTCCTTTGGTTATGTTGGGGAGGAGTGTGTATAAACGATTCTAATTACAGCCTTTTTCCATGCGTTTGATCTTGTTTAGTGNGTTTATACCTTTCAAGTCAGCGATGGTCCACCCAATGGTGCTTTTATGGCTTCCAAGAACTTCAATCAGTTTAGACTCTTGCAAGTCTGTAAGCTTAGATGAAATTACCATTGTGTATAACTCTTTCTCTCCTAAGAATGCATATTTGAGGTCAGATGAGAGAGGTTTCAATTTAGGCTTTGGTGGCCTGAAACTTGATGAGAGTGGCTTTGTGTCACTTGGTGAGATTTCTTCGAATTTGGGTGCCCATTTCCCAATAGTGAGGGCGGGGCAATCATTTGTCAACTCAAAGGTGATAGGCTCCAACAGAGATGATTCAGTAGGGTTTTCACAAAAATGTGTCATTCAGATGTTCCTGTATTAAAGATTCAATGGAGTTTATTTGTCTTTCTTCCTTGTCCTCTCCTGGATGCTTGACAATATTGAAAATGTTCAGCTCAAGAGTCATATTCCCAAAAGTTAATTTTATGACTCCCTTCCTACAATTGATTAGTGCATTTGAAGTTGCAAGGAAGGGTCGACCAAGAATAATGGGAATTTGGTTCTCTAAATGCATTGCTGGTTGAGTATCTAGAATAATGAAGTCAATAGGGAAGACAAAGTTGCCCACTTGGACAAGTACATTTTCAACAATGCCCCTAGAAATTTTGACAGATCTGTCTGCCAACTAGAGTGTGACACACTTGGGTTTGAGTTCACCTAGACCTAACTGTTGGCAGACAGAGAAAGGGAGCAAATTAACACTGGCTCCAAGGTCTAATAGTGCTTGTTCTATTTTGAAGTTTCCAATGAAACATGCCACAGTCGGACACCCCAGATCCTTGTATTTTGGAGAGGTTTTGCATTGAAGTAGGGCACTGGCTTGTTCTGTTAAGAAGGCTCTTTTTTGGACATTCTGGCTTCTTTTGACTGTGTACAAGTCTTTTAGAAACTTGGCATAAGATGGAACGTATTTGATTGCATCCAGAAGTGGGACGTTGATCTTTACTTGCTTAAAAAGCTTGTAAATCTCTGACTGGTTATTCAACTTCTGTACTATTTTGAGTCTTTGGGGGAAAAGGAATAGGAATAGGACATGAAGGATCCTTTTCCTTTGATAGTTCTGGTTCCTTTTCAATCACAAGTTCAGGCTCTTTTTCAGTCACAGATTCAGGCTCTTTTTCAATCACAGGTTCAGGCTCTACTGGTTCATTGACTGGGATTGATTCAGGTTTTGACTTTAAAATTAAAGTGTCTCTGATGGTTTTGTCAATTACCTTGCCACTTCTTAGTGTAATGACAACTTGAGATTGGTCTTGTGGTTGTTTTGGTTGATCATGAAACTTGTCTTNTGCCACTTCTTAGTGTAATGACAACTTGAGATTGGTCTTGTGGTTGTTTTGGTTGATCATGAAACTTGTCTTTATCATGTGTGGTCATGGATTAGGTCAACTTTTGGATGTGACTTTTAAGATCCTAGAAAGACTGGGTGGCCTGGGTTTTGAAATCAGTAAAAGCCTGAGTAGAACTATTGTTGTAGTTCATTTGACTTTGCATGAACTGATTCAGTATGTCCTCAAGGCTCCTCTTTTGTGGTAGNGTAAAAGCCTGAGTAGAACTATTGTTGTAGTTCATTTGACTTTGCATGAACTGATTTAGTATGTCCTCAAGGCTCCTCTTTTGTGGTAGTTGGTATGGTTGATATGCGGGAGGTCCTTGAGGTGGTGGTTGTGAACCTTGTTGTGGGTTCATGGGAGTTGGTTGTGTTCCTCCAACTGAGGTTCGAGAGGTTTCGCCACCCTAGATTGTATGTTTCAAAATATGGGTTGGAGTAAGGCTTGTTGAAGTTGAAAATTGTATTTGTTTGTTCCAACAAGACCTCTTTGAATGCTGGAATGGTAGGACACTCCCCAGTAGGGTTTCATATCAAAGCGCAAATCTTACACACTTGTTCTGTGGGAGGGCCAACATCAACTTGATGCACCTTTTTCATCTCTAGAGCTTCCAGCTTTCAAGACAAAGTATTTATTTTCGCTCTTAGGTCATCATTATCTCTCAAGACATACTTACCCCCTTGGGAAGTAGACGGTTTAGCTTCAACAATGGTACGAGAGGCTGAGTCCCACATCTGAGAACTGTCAGATATGGTGTCAAAAAAATTGAATGCCGCCTTCGGCCTCTTTCCTATGAACTTTCATTGAGCCATCTTTTTGAATAACTGACGTAGTCTAATGGGCAAGGAGTCATAGATGTGACACCCCTAAAACTGAGGGTCCCGTTTTGATTGATTAAAAAGAAGAATCTACTTCAACCGATATGCCCTTAGGCACGGCCATACATAACATAGAAATCACACTTGGAAAGGGTGGACAATTAGCTAGAGCAGCGGGTGCTGTAGCGAAACTGATTGCAAAAGAGGGGAAATCGGCCACATTAAAATTACCTTATGGGGAGGTCCTTTTGATATCCAAAAACTGCTCAGCAACAGTCGGACAAGTGGGGAATGTTGGGGTGAACCAGAAAAGTTTGGGTAGAGCCGGATCTAAGCGTTGGCTAGGTAAGCGTCCTGTAGTAAGAGGAGTAGTTATGAACCCTGTAGACCATCCCCATGGGGGTGGTGAAGGGAGGGCCCCAATTGGTAGAAAAAAACCCACAACCCCTTGGGGTTATCCTGCACTTGGAAGAAGAAGTAGAAAAAGGAATAAATATAGTGATAATTTGATTCTTCGTCGCCGTAGTAAATAGGCGATAGAATTTCTTTCTTCGTCTTTACATTTACAAAAAAAAAAAAAATAGGAGTAAGCTTTGNAAGGAATAAATATAGTGATAATTTGATTCTTCGTCGCCGTAGTAAATAGGCGATAGAATTTCTTTCTTCGTCTTTACATTTACAAAACAAAAAAAAAAATAGGAGTAAGCTGTGATTTATTTTATGGGCGAACGACGGGAATTGAACCCGCGCATGGTGGATCCACAATCCACTGCCTTGATCCACTTGGCTACATCCGCCCCCTCTAATAGTATTTAGACTCAAAAATATGAAATTTCGACCATTTCTCATTATTTCTTTTTTTTTTTTTTTTAGATACAAATTTTAAGAAAAAAAGATTGGGAAGAAGGTATATTAATTGAAAATTTATACCTAACGAAAGCACGATCATGTACGAAAGCACGATTGTGATTGTCGCACAACCCAGCATCATGTATATCACATCCCTATAACCGGGATTACAACCCACACGAGAATCTATGTTTTCCTTTATTTATTTAATCCCATCGAGGTTCAATATACCAAAATGTATCTCTTTTCAGATCCATTTATGTCATTGAAACCAAAGAACACATAGCCCAAAAGCATGACAATGCATTCTTAAATTTTCAGATTTTTGGAAGAGCTACCGGTAGATGTTTATTAGACCTACCGGTAGTTGATGCCTGCTAGACAGGTACTACCTGTTAGCTACCAGTAGTCGTTGACTGTTGTACAGGTACTAATTATTAGCTACCGGTAGTCATTGCTTACTGTATAGGTACTACCTATTAGCTACTGGTAGTTGTTGTCTGCGGTACATGTACTACCTGTTAGCTATCGGTAGTTGTTGCCTGCTACCGGTAGGTTTTGTCCAGAATTTCATTTTTTCATAAGTTTTTCATTTCCAATCCAATCAAAACCTTCCCAAATCCATTCCAAACATGTATAAAGATATTTTCTACATTATACATGATTCATACAAGTCTATTACAACCCATTCCTTACAATTTACAAGCCAAAATGGAATTAAACCAAAAGTTTTTACATAAAACTCGGTTCAAGAGCCACAATCCGGCTCTTCTTCACCTTAGAGGCTCCGAATGTGTGTCATCCACCGGAATATGCCCCGCACCTGAAATATTTCTTGTATAGGGTGAGCCAACGCCCAGTAGAATACTTCTTACAAGGGTTACTCCCCACCTAAGTGTATATGAATGTATACACACAACAACACTCAATCAATATCCATTCCAATGCAAGAATATTCAATTCATGTTGGAATTTATTATGTCATGCCATGAAATGAGATGAGACTCACTCCCGCACATCAACCCAAGCCTTCACCTACTCTCACCACACTATGCAATGCAAGTGCACTACATTTATCATTGATGAAATACATCCAATGATCACTTTTAAAACACCCACTATATATTCATAAAACCACTTCATTCATGGGTGTTTCCCATCAAATGAAATCATTATATAATAAAACCATGTGTCTTTGCTTGGGTAGCGGACTTTTTGGTGTCACACCACAGGCTCTACAAACCGATACACTTTTTTGGACTTGCACCGCAAGAAGTGTATAAAACTAGAAGCCGGGCCTTGCACCCGAGGACATGTCTAGCCCTTCTTGCTATACTCGACACAAGTTTTTCATGCCATGCAACCGTGCGACTCTGTCGGACCTTGGTCCAATGGTACCGAGCCCACTTATCACCCACCTACTTGATGTTTGATATCAACCATGCACTCACACCCATGAAATGCAATGTGTTCCCGTGTGTAAGTGATGTAATGAATGTTGTGAGCCAAATTAAACACATATCATGTCCCATATGTAATGGATGTCATATGGACAATTTAAACCACACATCACAACATGTGTCATAGCAATTTATACTATAAACATATAGATTCCATAAATCAATACAATGTCAATATCTCAATGAGCACATATTAACATTTCTTTTCAACACATTTTCTAACCATGTTATACATCACTATGTCATAACAACTTGATTCAC